TTCTCTCTCACTCACACACACACTCACACATACACATACACACACACACACACACACACACACATACACACACACACACACACACACACACACACACACACACACACTCACGGCCTTCCCTAAAGAATGAATTAAGAAAGTAAATAAATAAATACAGTCTAAAAACGCGTATAATTTTTTCACGTCTATAATACTTTTCAGAACCTAATAGTAGACGGTAGAGCCGTGAATCTGGCATCAACTGGAAGCTCCACCAGCAACTCCCCACCAACGTCTGATCCCAGCTCAAATACCGCGGTTACCGCCCCTGAACCTGGCTGCTTGAGTCGCCCCCCTTGTCTGTCTTCCGCCTGCAAGAATGGCGGCTCTTGTGTGGACAACTGGACTCAACAGGTTCTTGTTTTTTCTGTTATTTCGTACTGTAATTGTATGACCTTAAACGGCTCTTTCTTTTATCGGTTATTCCGTATTATATTTATTGTTTGGCCTCAACAGTTTATTGTCTTTATCAGTTATTCGGCACTGCAAATGCATAACCTCAGCAGATTGTTTTTCTTATTGATTAATGTGTACTGTGATTGTATTGGCTTGACTCGTACATTTTCTTAAATGTAAGTGTTTTAATGCCCCAACTGACACTATTTAGGTCATTTAGGAGGTCGGCTTCCGAACCTGCCTGTTACGTCAATCCCTAGCTGAAAGGGATGCAACATCCTGACAATTTTCTCTCCATTCGGGAATCGAACATGGGTCTCCTGCGTGCAACATAGAAGCTCATAATCTATGCATCAAAGACGCCGGTACATCAGGTTTTTTCCCAATCAGTTCTTACGTACTGTAAGTTATTGTGAGAACTTAACGTGTTCTTATTGCTTAGGGTTGTCTAGTGGTTAGGCTACCGGACTCGTAATCGGGAGATTGCGGGTTCGGGGGTTCGATCTTCAGCTCGGTCTGACTTTGTGTCCATGGGAAAGGCATTTTACACGAATTTCCCACAATGATGATGATAATGATAATGAAAAGGATGATGATGATGATGATGATGATGATGATGATGATGATGATA